CCCCAAAACCCCAAAACCCCAAAACCCCAAAACCCCAAGTGGAGAATATTATTGAAAAACTAACATGGAGCATAAGTATCAAATAATTGTATTAAAACCGATTAATAGTGACGAGAGGAGTAAGAAACAAGGATATATCTGCAAATTTTAGTCTTAAATCTTCCTATCTTCGAAAGATAATTTACGTAATTCAGAAAGCAGCCACAAAAACGATATGAACAAAGAGAAATCTGACTTAATAAAGAAAATAGCCAAAAATATGAAACAGTATCGGAAAGATTCATTCAGTGAGCCTAAAGGTACTATTATCTACTATCTCACCCGATCACTTCCTCCAAATTACCTCCCAAATTCCCAAGAACCCTCTCCAATTTCTAGAATTCGCTCCAATACTTATATCCCAAACCTCTCTACTAAAACATCTTTGCTGAGCTTAGAAATAATATTAGTCTAGGTGAAATCCAAAATGCTCCTCTGAGGAAGAAAATCAAAGTGCTAAGGATGAAGAAAGTCAAGCTGCCTAGTACAAACCAGGAGTCCCAAACAAAGCCAAATATTTTGGAAGGTACCGCTCTTAACTTACCAATAGATTATAAGAATAGTCAGAAGTCTAAACCAACCTGGTCATTTATGAAAGAGTAAGAGCACCTGGCTTTGTTAGAAAATTGATTAATTATGGGATTAGAAGGAGATCGAGGAATGTTAGAGAGTTGGTGAAGTCTTCAAATGAAGACCAAGGTAGGTCTCAAAAGCTTCCTTTACTAAGAAAAGGGAGTACGTTCAATGTGAAGTCGCAGGTATGTTTAATAAATACCAACAGTTTTAATACTTAGGATGAAAATTTTAAGCCAAACTTACCAAATAAACGAGGAAGGAATATGAGCCGGAGCAAATTAGCATCACTCAGTAAGTCTCTCTCTTCTTTTACACTTTATGGTTTTCTGGATTTTATCAGTTATAATAGGCTCATTCCATATCAAAAAGAAAACTGAATTGATTGAGAAGGCATTTAAGGCAGCAAACCAGACTCCTGTTTATAAGAGTAGGAATAGCAGTGTTGGACCCATCAAGAGCCTTATTGCTCAGACATCCCAAGCTGTGGAGAATTATAAGAAATTGTTATTTGAAAGTAAGCTATTCAAATATTATTCTTGCTTCTTTTATTAGTATAAAATTCTATTACATGCAGAATTAATTTGCATCCAGAGTCCAAGCGAAGGGTAGGATTCAGATCAAAAGGAAGCTTTAATGCTAGAAATTTCAAGTATTTTTAGGCAAATATTTATGAATCTTAGCAACAAGATCGAGTATTTAGTATTTGAATTATAAATGTTTCAACTTTGACCAGCAGAGCAGGGGTTTTGGGGTTTTGGGGTTTTGGGG